AACTCACACCGTGTACTCATCTAAGTATACGAAGGCCATCTGCAGAAGAACACAGGCAACGAAAAGACCAACAGAGGCAGTTCGCTACTACCCAACGCTCCAAAGAAGAAACCACGTTTTCCTCAGGAATTCCGTGAGCTGTCAAAGACAGAGGCTATCCAGCCACCAACAGGTGCACCAAGAGTGACCAAAAGAAGGCTATCCAGCCAACCAAGCAAGCTTTTACAAAGCAGTGACTCATACGAGAGTCCACCGTGTGATCCTTCCTGCAGGAGTATCCACACACAAGCTAGTTCCAAGGAACCATCTAAGAAGCGCATAATGGGGTCTCGCGAAAACAGCGAGGTCTGGAAGGTACCGAACGACATGCGTCCCTAGGCGATTGGTGACATCATTGCTCCCGGATTTGGATGGTGTTTGTTGTGGAACATGTACTGGGTTCTCCATTGGGTGTGGCAGTATGCACCGTTTTGGAACCCTGCATGCATCCTAAATTCCCAACCCCATAGGTACCGACCAATTTTGTGGTCCCGTTTTGTCCCCTATGCCATACCAATGAACATGGAAACTACATACAGAATCCGGTACAGAGCGGTTTGGGGGTTAGCTTTTGGTAACCACACTCACAATTTTGTAAGGTCGTGTAGACTTTGCCTAAGGTATTCACAGTTCCTTTATACGGCCTAGCGATCGGCAATTACTACTAGCTAGCTACTACTACTAGTTGTATCATGGGGTTATTGGTATTGCGACTACTGTAAAGCTTGGTTTGAAAGCAAGAGGGCACTATGTGCTCACACCAACCAATCTCGGAGTTGCATTGCAGCAAGGCAGAATGATTACTTGGCATTGGCAAAGCAACAAGAAGTACTAGTACTAGGAGAAAAAGGGACATGACTACTGCAGGGCTTGGTGCCACTGACACTGGAAGACCCGCTAAAGCACCACGGCAAGTTAGAAGATCTGCAGGAGAGGAGAGAGGCAACTCGAAGTCAAATGCCAGCCATTCCACAAGACATGGTGGAGGAAGATCAAATTGCTTGGGCCATGCAAGATGGTGGTGGTATTGGTTCCGAAAGCGAGGAAGACAATAGAAAACCAGCAGCTGACCCGCGGTTTGGTACCCGAGATGACGGCAATGAGGAAGCAAAAGAGGAGGCGATGAGGAAGCCATAGAGGACAACTGATGAGGAAGGAAGTGACGACGATTCGCAAGAAGACACAGATGATGATGATAGTAATGAAGACGATGATGAGACCAGCAGTGGTGGATCAACAGCTACCCTGGTACAAATTCCCAAGGAATGGAACCATGACAATGAACCTCCAGACGATAGGAACATCAACCAATTCCGGCAATATTGTGCAGATTCAAAGAAGACGTTCCTCCCCTTGGATAAGAAACAGGCTCGGGGTGTCAAATTGATGGATATCCTTCGAAGAACAAGGCGCCTTTGACTGCGGTATGATGATGTGTTGACATGGTCACTTGTGATGAAACTGGAGCCCGATTGGGTGACGAGAAGCAGGTGAGGTTCCGGAGTACTTGAGCCGGAAAAAGTTGATGAGCTTCCTCAATGACAAGATACAACATGGGTGGCAAATTCCCTTTCACAAAAGACCTTGTGCTTCCACATTCAGGTGCTAACATCAAGGTGGTGTGCCACGATGCTCGTAGCACTACGCTAAAAGCTAAAGCTAGTGTAAAGATCTTTCGAGTGTTTTTGAGTTTGAGAGAATGAAAGTTATGAGAGGATTAGAAAGCTATGAAAACTAATCAACGAGAGAGATCAATCATCAAAGGATCGTAGATCTGGCTTCCCGCGGGAGACTATAAAGTGTGAAAGAGTAGGTGTGGTAGAAATCCTACGTCTCTCCACGATCCCTAAACGGAACGCCGTGAAGGTTCGTCTAGCCTGGATCTAGTAGGGTGTAAGTACTCCACGCTGGCTAAATATGTAGAGCGTGTTTTCATCATCAACCTAGTATGACTAGCGCGGTCATTGAAACCCTGTCTCGATGACTAATTTCACAGGAGACTCAGTCATGAGTCGAAACTCAAAAACCTATCTAGGATCGAGTCGCGAATAAAGGCTAAGAGCCGTGTATTGCATTCGCCCCTGACCAGGGTCACAGAAGGCGCGACGGCAGTCGGACAAGGAGAAATTATGATTTAAAGTGCGGGTCACTCTAATGAGATTTGGATGTAGACATGTGGCGTCGCACGATGGCAATCCTACAAGGGGATCAGGCCTTGTAATGGGGTGTATATACCTTATGTTCCAATCCTGGTAGACTGTGCCGCCGTTGGCGGTAGCATGTTGAGCCGTACAGTGCCATTGTCATTGACTCGGTCCTTTGTGTAAGGACCTTTGTACTTTGGCTGACCGTACTTGCGTGGCTGATACTGTTGAATCATCACAGTATCGTTGACATTGTATTAATGAGGGACACGCGTTGCGTTTCCCTATCGTTGTTTTGTTTGGATTAGTCGTTGGCGACGTTTCTTAATTTTCTTCCAGTTGGCTTCGAACCGAACGTTGTGAATCGCGTAACGATTGACCACGAGCTGTGCGGGCGTTGCCAGCAAGGTGGTATGAATCGTGGCATTCATTGCAAAGCGACCCGCCGTGAGGAACTCCATCCAAGGATCCATTCACGAGGTCGTCTTGGCATTTGATGTTTTGAACAGCGATTAAGTTACGTATGGTTTGATGAGCACCCTCGACCATAGAGTTGGCATGAGGGTTACGCGTAGTGAAGAACTTGCGACGAAGTCCGTATTTATCCCGGAGTGTCTTTTCTGCCTCTGCGCGGAACTCGCGTCCTCTATCCATGATAACCTCAGCAGGCCACGGATACCCGGTAAGCCCACGTTTGTTCTAGACGATGGCTACTTCGTCTGCTGCCTTGGAGCAGATCTCTGCAATCTCGAACCATACGGTTACGGGATCAATCATTGTCAAGCAATGAAGTGTGGAGGAATTCTTTTTCTTGGATCCCCGACGTTGTAAGGGCCTATCAAGGTCAATACATAGTCCTTCCCAAGGGAATCTCCTCGCAAGTCTTTGGAGGCATCAATCCAGCTTACGCGTCTTGGGTTTGTTCATCTGACAGCTTTGGCAACGCTGAAATACGGCCTGCACAGTCCCGCGCAGCCCTTTCCAGGTGTAGTTTTTGCTGATGGTTAGTTCCGTGCGAGTCTCCCCAGGATGCATTAGCACACCATGGTACCATTCAACTAGTTTCTTCTGCATAGTTTTTAGGTACGACGATTTTCTCGTCCTAAACTACTAAGTCGTAGGACTTATCCCCTGCCTCTGGGGAAAGATTGTTTTTTGTAGTCGTTTGGCTTGTGTCTGAGGAGCTTCTTGATACTATCGTTGTCGTCTTTCTGCGGATGTTCGATCTCGGGGAACGAGAGAGGGGAACTCGCTAGGGAAGTCCTCTTCGTCTGCAGCCATGAGTTCGGCGATCTCGCTGGCGTCCCTCTGTTCTGAAGAACCGTCATTGTTGGAGATGTTAAGTCTCGAAACCGCATCAGCGACGATGTTCTGTTTGCCCTTGATGTACCGTAGTTCAGGGCCGTAATTCTTCAGAATAAGGCGCCATCGGATTACGCGATCGGTATTGAAGTTCCTGCATGTAAATTTCTTGTGGTCCGTATGTACAAACATCTTCTGTGCTAGAAGAATGTTACGGAACTCTTTTAGAGTTTTTACGATACTGAGAAGTTCGTTCTCGGTAACTGTGTAACGTGTCCTAGCAGGGTTGAGCTTCCTGCTGTAGAACGCGATATGTTTCCCCTTCTGGGAAATTACCGCACCTAGTTGAGTATAACTCGCATCCGTGTGGATAACGAATGTATCGTTGAAGTCAGGGTAGGCCAGCAAGGTTTCCTTGCTGATCATCTTCTTCTATAATAGAGGTATCAGGAATATTTCCTCCAACACAGGTATGCATATACATACAACAAGCTAATCAAGAAGAACAAAATGCCAAGCCTCCAATTCCTATCATCTTAGCTCTTGTCTCCTAGACAATTGTGGAAGAGTAACATTTCCTTCTTATTGAGCTGAGTCAGGTGTGCTTGGGTCATAACAGCAACTACGGTACAGAATCTTATCGGCTGGGACAATCTCATGCGAGAGCGATTGTCACTCCGTTGGGCCAAGCACTAAGACGCCTATCTGAAGAGAGTGTCCCCACAGGAAACGACGCGAACTGGTCAACTCTGGATTACCAATTTTGCCTCGCTCCTGATCCAACAATGGTGGAATCTTTGGGAGGACCGCAATGCCACTCGGCATGGCAGAAACAAGGAGCAACAATGGGCAAAGAAACAAGAACAGCTCCAACGGGAGGTGAACTTCTGTATGAAAAGGCAGATCTGCTACCAGAGCATCTGCTTGACATCATCTTCAAAAGCCCATTGGAGGAACTCTGTGAGATCAACCGTCGCTTCGGCTGGGGTGATTGCCAGTGCAGGAGTGCTTGCCCATTGACACCATATCCAATATAAAGATTTGTTTTTTAAGGAACAAATGGCACAAGGGCCGGGAGATATCAAGGCATGGCTAGCCAACTGGCTACCTGTCGTTGACAAAGCACTACACGAGCAGTATACACGCGTGAAGCAAACACAAACACGGTAACTATGCACTGCCGAGGGATTACCATAGAAATAGAGGGCGATTCAGCCATGGGGGCAGATAGTTAGTCGTAAAGCACCTGGATCGTGCCGCAACGGTCACGATCCACGATTTAGGGTAGGATTTTCGAATCAGATTTAGGGCAGAGTTTCAAAACTCTGCCCCCATTCTCGGCCAAACATCGGCCAAAAAAAACGAAGACACTCAAAAAGAAGAAACAGTGGCAAGGCGAGGGGACGTATTAAATAGAGTATTAGTTAAGATCTATCTGGAAGAATGACCCAGCTGATGATCCAACATGTAGCTGCCAATCAAGAATCGCACTTGCATCCCCAGCAAACCGAAAGCTTATGATTCAGGTTGAACAAATGACACACAGTTTGCTGCTCGGAGCCTCGCTTCAAAAATTGGCATTATGCCTTCAAACCATTCAACTTCATCATGATCAAGAACAACATTCCCTTGGTAGCCACCAGGCACAAAGCCTTTCCGAATGTTAAAAAAATCAATATCTGGCAACACCTTTCCCCCAAACCAGCGATGGAAGAGACACATGCTTTCGGCCCATCGTCCTGTAATACCAAAAAAGAAACGTGGCTGGCTGACTCGTTCAATGGCAAGTGAAATGTTGAGTGGTCCCATCTGTTTAACCTGCTGAGGGCCTTGTTTGTGGCAGTGGCGACCCAGCACCATTTTGAGCTGGCAGTTGCAAATATTTGGTTCCTGTGTGTATTCCTCAAAGGTTGAATTGCTGGTAGGCTGCCAACTGCCATGGCGACCAAAGTTGTAGGCACTCCAAAGTCGTTCAATTGGCTTGCGAAACATTGTCATGGTAAAGAATTCTTCGTTGGGACGTGCGACGTATGGGTGATGATATCCTGGACTTGGCATATTATAGAACATCAAGTCCTTGTTGTAGCACCACTTCTCAGGGGGGTATTTTGGTAGTAACACTTCTTCATTCAGGTAGATCTTTCTCAGCTTGCCTTCTTTTCGTTCCGCTATCAAAGCATCTGGACAGAAGCGAAAGAAAATGGCCATAAAGAAGCTGCCCCCTGTTTTCTGGACATGCATCCAGTAGATGCGATGCACTGCTGACTGATGAAACAGAGGTGCTGCTTCGAAATCTGGCAAGGTGGATTGGGTGACGGTGATTTCTTGTACAGCAAGAGAATTGGATGTAGAAGCTGTGGAAGCATATTTGGTGGATGTGGCATCTGTGGCGTTGCCAACAACCAATTTCATTTTGGACCAATTAGAGCTTTCAGTTTCGTAGCTGGGTAGGAGACCCCACCAATAGCAAGCCATGGCCACAAACACTGCACAAACCAAGTGTGAACATATCAACACCCTTACTTTGCAACGCATTTTCTTTCAATTCACAATGTCACACTCTGGAGAGGGCGCTCTAAACAGTCCCCTGTCGTTCAATGCTGTCAAAATTGCGGTCATGTCCATGTGGTTTCGAGGTGGGAGGTGGGAGGCATGATAACCCATTGTAAGTCATCAGGGCTGCTGTTGCAGCATCGGTTAAATAAGCACTACTAGACTGTAATTTGCGATGGGACAGCTACTACTGTAGGCTCGGATTATCTCTTCTCTAACACCACAAGGGATAACGGGGGTTCGTGGTCGGCACCCTTCCGATCGCCAATGGCATCTAGCTAGCTGGCTAGTATCGTTTATGTATTCTGTGTTTGTAACTATCGACATGAAAAAGTTACAAGTAGATGTTCACTCCATCTTCGGATTGGCGGCAGTCCTCCTCACCGTTTCCATTGCAACACTGCTGCAAGTGAATGGCCTTGAAATTAGGGAATTTTCCTCCCGATTTGAGGTGGGAAAAAGTCGAGTCTATAAAGGGTTCCCACCCGTACTCTTCTTCGTTCTCGTAGACAGTACACTGTATCATCAAATCTGTCAATGCGGGAAAAGAGGATTCCATGGTAGATTCCAAGCTTTGAACGTACGCATTCATGGGGCAGCCACTTTGGTATCCAATGCTCAGTGTTTCGAGGCGGGGAAATTTGTCTCCGGCTCCAAGCAGAGCAGTCAACCCGCCTCCCTCGCCACTTGTCTTGCTCGAGCGGTGCACAAAGTCTCCACCAACACTGCTCGTGGAGACCGCCACCACTGTTACGCCTGGCACTTCTTCAATCCAGTTTCGAAAGACATTCAAATGCGTCAAATGCTGGAAATTGGTGCAGCTGGCCAAAACCTTGGCTCCAGCGTCTGTGATTTTGTTGCTTTGGAGATCGAGTTTGACGAGCTTGTCATTGAACTGCGTGGAATGAACAATGTTGTTCACCAATGGATCGCCCCACCACGAATCCTGAAGAAAGATACCTCGCAACCAACAAGTATCAGGATGTTTCATGATTTTCTCCCAAGCATCCTTTGTGTTTGCCGGCGGGTACTGTGTCAAAGCGTTGAACAGCTGCATGGGAGGAAATCGTTTGACGGCGTCGCTGTCATTATTATTAGAGGACGCTAGCACATACTTGGTTAGCCACTCAGGTCGGATGCTCCGGCGAGGCTCCAGATTGTCCACAAAAAGTTGGGCATAAAGTGGTATAATGCGTTTTCCCACGGGGGGGCCCAACACATTCCACGCCTGCAGAAATTGGACCGCATAGTCCAGGTAAGAAGTCTGCAAGAGTACCTTGTACTTGTCATCTGGCATTTGAGCTATGTGAGGACGACTGTTCTTGGCGGCTGGCAGCAAATGATGTTCGTGGTGTGCCTTCATTTGCAGAACAAGTTGATAAAACTCTTCTTCGGTCTCTTTTGTTTTGCCGTGTCCTTCAATCGTGACCGAGACAGCTTCCCAGTCTCCATTCGACTCTTTGGTGCTATCGTAGGGTTTTTCTTTCTTGGAGTTGACGCATGATGGGTTGGGAGGTGTTGCGACGCTCCGTTGTGGGCGCCGGGCTTTGATGATGCGACGAGCAGGGGCAACGGATGGAGGCTTTTCCTCTTCCTCGGTTGCAGATTCTTCTTCCTTTGCGACCGCACTCTTCTTCTCTTTGTTGTTCCTCTCATCGGAGCCCCCAAGCAAAGATGAACCGGATGCGCTGCTGTCGCCGTTCATCGTCGAACCAATTCAGCATATCATATCGGTATATCAGCCAACTGCTTGCACCGGCACTGGTACCGGTACCATAACACTTCGAGTTCAACTGTGCAAGGCGCAGAAGCCAAGCGAGGAAGACGGTCTTGTTAAGTCTTGGATTTAGTCGTGTACCGAAAAAACACTAAATGACATTCATCCATGGATACGGTACAGCTCGGTCCAGCCGCACCGGTACATACCGGTAGGTCTACTGGTACTGTGCGGCAAAAACCGGCACGCGTACAGCTGTCCTGGCACCGTGAGGTTCCAGTGTTCCAGTGGCTCTCCCTCGCCTCCCTTCCTAAACACCTAGCCAGATCTACTGAGTATTGAATACGTTTCTGACTACTGTTCAATTTGCATGAGTTTGGAGCTGTTGACATCAAATTACTGAACGCTTTTGGTGCAGTTTGCGCGCCATTTTTGTTTGCTTCATGCTTCACACCGAGACGGAGCATTCTACAATGGCAGGGTTGAAGGACTGGAATGCGTACTGTCGAGATTGGTTCCGATCATCGATCCTTTCGGAAAGACCAATCAGATCATCTTGGAATTTCTGCCAAATAGCCGCCTCCTCCTCATCCTTCCAGTAGTGGGCAAACTTGGACTGCAGGGAAGGTACCGGCAAAGATGTCATTGCAAGAAGCAAGGAACCGCCCAGATAGGATTGCTTGTCGACTTGGACGGCATTGTGCGGCATACGAAAACCACCGTGCAATGGGGTCTCGATGTGTTCGGCAATGGACCCAACGTGTTGGTGCCCCCCTGTCACGTGAAGGCAGAATGTGGCCAGTGTATCCAAAAGAGTTTCTCGGCTGAACAGTTTGCCTCCTGGAAGGTCTGGTGATTCTGTGTATTGCTTCAAACGATTCCACCAGTCCTGAATGGCCGGATCGTTTGAGACGTCCGCATCCGTGGCTGGGACTACGCTTTCCCATAGGGAATAGAAGATCTTGTAGAGTTCGAGACCATCTTGGTGGTACGGCAGTTTGCCACTCTCCACCAACTCTTGAATCTTACTACCTCTGGATTCCGCAACCCTCTTGAAGCATTTCCACTGGTCACCTTTCTTGTAGGTTTTTGCAGTCAGGTCAACCAACCCGTCCCAAGTCAAGCCAGTAATGTGGTGCAGAATGGATTGCTTTGGTAAAAGTGCTGTCCCTGCCTTATTGTTGATTAATGCGGTTCGCATCATAAAACGGCTGTAGCATTCGTTTGATAGGGTGATCTGCGGGGAAGGCCTCCGATGTTGCACGAAGCATTTGCGCCGCTACAAAGAAGTGTAAATTGAACAGATGATCCATTGCCGTGACCAGCGTAATCAAGGAGCTTCGCCAGTGAAACTTGGCAACTTCCCACCTATAGTGATCGCAGACGGGATAGACCAAGTCTCCCTTGAATGTGCGGATTGCCAAAGGCTCTTGTTCTGCGTTGAAATAGGCGCATGATCCGTATTTGGCAACCAGGGCGGACCTCAAACCCGTTCATTGAGGGTTTTTGCTACAAATTGTGATTACAATACTTTGCTTATACTATCTAACTCCTCAACTGCTCTGCTTCAACATTTCATTTGAACAGTTGAGCTTACTATTTCCTTGCAGGAATGGAAGCAGGCTGATCATTCAGGTTGTTCAGGATATCAATATCCCTCACAATCTCACACGCCCTCAGATGCTTTCCTGGCTGCAAGAGCTGTTCCTTTGTCAAGTGCTCCGATTCCCACTGCATGATACTCTCCCTTTGGGATTCGAATAGTGCCAACGGTTGTGGCTTCGTTGCGATGTCGGCGAGTTGGTACCTGCTGGGAATCTTGTGCAGGGAGATTAGTTTCTTTCGAACGTAACCTCTAAAATGATGCATCTTGACACAGATGTGTTTGGTCCTAGGACGCATTTTGGGCTCTATAGCCATCTCCAGAGCTCCACTGTTGTCCTCGAAGACCTTGCAATGAACTACCGGCGGTTTGTCGTGTGTTTTCCATCGTAGCTGTTTCCTAGACTCGTCAATTAGCTGCATCAGACCAATCACTTCTCGCAATGACTCAGACATGGCATTGTACTCTGCCTCAGTGGTCGATAGTGCAACTTCTCTTTGCAGTTTCGAAGCCCAAGTGACCGGACACCCACCATAGACGATAATGTAACCCGTCCTGGATTTGGCCGTCGCTGGATCGACATCAGCTGTAGCTCTGTTCCAGTTGCCGACAAAGTCTGCGTCCACGAACACGTCGAAGGAACATGACGTGGGATTGAGGATGATTCCTTTATCCATGGTCCCAATCAAGTACCTTCCAATCCGTTTGACAGCTGCTGCGTGTGACTGCTTCGGGTCTGCTGAGAACCTTGCACATTGATGCACCGCATAGGCTATGTCAGGCCGCGTGGACTTCTCCAGAAAATTCAACTTCCCAATCACACTTCGGTAGTGCCAGTCCTGCTGAATGTCCTCTCCATTGATGTCTCGCTGTAGGTTGACGGTTGACAGCGCTGGTGTTGGCTGTTTCTTGGTTCCTTCTTCGAATCCAAGATCCTCGATGATCTGCTTGATCATGTGTGGCTGTGAGAGTTTGATGGTTCCATTCGGTAGTGGCTGGACCTTGACTCCTAGGTAGTCTGAAAGAGTTCCTTCATTTGTCATCACGAAGGCACGATGTGTCACTCCGTGTTTGTCCGTGATCGGCCTCGACAGCAGGTTGTAGGCATCGTCAATCTCTTTGGTAGTCGGTGCGATGAAGATCCCATCGTCAACGTAGATGAGGAGTACCACCGTCCCTTTGAAATACACGCACATGTCAACTGTGCTCTGCTTGAAACCTCTTGCTACCAACCCGTCATGCATGTACCTGTTCCAGACTCTTCCGGCCTGCTTTTGTCCATACAAATTCTTCTCCAGAAGCAAGCAATCGCTGCCCCTGTACCTTCTCTTGTCACTCGTTTGCACCAACTTCGGCGTGCCCGAAGACCTGTCTACCTCGAATCCTTGAGGTATCTCCATAAACATTTCACACTCGATGTCGGCTTGTGGAAACGCGAGCACGAAGTCCACTTGCCGCGAATGCCACTTGTTGATGAGCATCAGGACTAGAAAGGTCCTGATCGTAGACCAGCCAACTACTGGGGAGTATGTCTCCCAATAGTTCACGTACTTGGTTTGCTTGCCACCGTGCACATTGAGCCTCGCTTTCCATTTGTAGATCTCTTGAGTCGCAATCCGTCTCTTTCTCCGGAATGCCCACACTGCCGGAAGGAGTTCCGTCCCTTTTGGCATGTCTCTCTTGCTGGCAATCCTCCAATGCTTGTTGTCCTCGTGAGAACTGACTTCCTTGATCATTGCCTCCTTGAACTGCTTGGCATCGTGGGCTGCCAATGCTCCGTCAATGTACATGATGTCCGGATTGGTTGAGGCTGCAAACGCAATCGGGTCCTCCAGCTCTTCCTGGATCAGATACTCGTCATCGTGGAAGACTTCCCAAGGAATTGCCGCGTATGCGACGTGATAAATGTCGTGGTTGTTGGGTCGACGAACTTGTCTTCCCGCTCTGGTGACTGGTGCCTGACTTGGCAACGTCGCTGGGTTCGGCTGCACTGGTTGATCCTGCGTTGCTTCGTCATTGCCTTCCGTCGATTGACTGGTCTCATCGTCATTGTTGTCCGTGGGTTGTTGTTGAATTCCGAAATCTTCGAGCAAAATATCGCTTGCCCGCAGAGCTGGCGGCAACTCGGTCGGTTGAGTCCCATCTCGCACGTGTCTGACTTGATCGGTGTTTTCGTCCCTTTTCGGCATTCCTACTTCGTCTTCTCCACGATGATGGAGGTCGCCGTCCTCAAATCCGGCTTTTCGTTGCCAATTTGATGCTGGCGGATGGTTTCCTGACTTTGGACGAAGTGTGTCGCACAAGTCATCGAACTGGCAGTGGAACTGTGGTGATACCAGTCCAGTTCGCAAGCTAAGGACCAAGGCAACTTTCCTCGAGTGCCTTGGCAAAAGGCCAAGATAGACGCCAATTCTGGCCTTGTGCGCCCATTTCTGGATGGACTTTCCTTGTTGAAGGCGGCTGTCCAGGACGTATACTGGAGATCCGAAGGTGTGCGTGTTTTTCACCTTCGGAGCGACATCGACTCCCGAAAACAGCTCAATTGGAGATGCATGATCATTCCTAGCCAGAATGGGCGTGGAATTCGCAATATCGCTTGCGTATCGCACTGCGAACGGCCACAGGTGAGAGTCAATCGCTGTTGGCCATCTCTGTTTTGCATGAAGGAGCATGGTTCTTGCTGCCTCCTGCAGATCTCTGATCTTCTTCTCTGCCTTTCCGTTCATGTGATGGGCATTAACTGCCGCATAGGTGATTGTTTGTCCCGACAGATGGACTTCCTCGGCAAATGCCTTGCTGTCGAATATCCCATTATCTGCATGATAGTGCTTGACCCTGACTCCAAATGACTTGGCATATCTCTCGAATGCTCGCTTGGCGGCGATCGTCTGCTCAGCTGATGTAGACGTCTGGAAATGAACGTAGGAAAGTCCGCTGTGGTGATCAACGAAGACTGTGCTCACGGAATACCTCTTCTTGGTTAGGATTCCTCTCATTTGACCGATGAAGCCAGGCGTTGACGATATCATTTGATCAACACCGACCACCGATCCTGGAGCAACTGCTGACAATGGACCGGCTTGATTGTTCGGCGTTCTGGTCCTCCATGGTCTCCTGGTTGCCTTTCCGAACATGCAGCTCGCACACCGTGGTGCTCTTGCTTTCGCCAGCTTGGCAGGCAGGTCTCCCCTCTCTGCAAGCTTGCGAATGCGCTCGAACGAAATGTGTCCGAGCCTGTAGTGCCAAGCCAGGATGTCGGCCTCATCGGTCTGGTACTTCAAATATCTCTGATCGGTGACTGGCTCTTGTTCCACCATCCGTACGTCCTTCTTCATCTTGAAAGCGTGAGTCATTCGGTGCTGGAACTGATCACTCCTTTCTTGCTCATCGACGGCCTCAGGCGGCAGGTCCGGATGCAGTCGCGGGATGATCGACTCGTCGTCATCCAAGTCGTCTGATGAGTTGTTATCCGTGTCGTCATCCGACACGGCTGCCACTGTCGGCATAGCCATGAGATCGAACTCATCCAGTGGGCCACGCCCTAGGTCGTTCCGCACTTGCGAGCAGAACGTGTGGAGCTTGGAGAATGCTGGTGCACTCCTCACGAGTGCTATGTTGCTGGCTTGAGACAGCTTGATGGCCCTCTTGAACTCTCCTTGCTTCCAGAATAGTTCCACGGCATCCTCATACGTCGCACACCATGTTCCTCTCTTGTTGGGATAGTTGTCATCTGCAACCTTCGCCCAATGCTGTGGCGAGAGTAGTCGGTAGGGAGTGGCAGCATTGTAGTAGGTATCTGGAATCAAGAAGTGGTGGGCTCGCCCTTGCTCGTCCTCGAGTGTCCATCTCACTGTTCCCTTGTACGTTGCCGTCACAGAACCACCAACTCCTTGGACTGACACGCTGACTTTCTGGGGCGTGTCAATAAAGTGTCTCATGCAGTTGGTCATGCACCGTGATGAGCAATTATCAATCGCAATCAGAACTGAATCAGTATCATACTGATGGTCGTCTGAGTTGCCGTTGGTCGATCCTCTGAGGGACCAGATGACTAGGCTGTAGGCAACGATTGGGCTGCCTTTGCGACGGGATACAGCTTACAATTCAGCTTTACAGCTTTACAATTAGCAGGCTTATTCTAGAAAATAATCAATAACTGCTCACTTATTTGGAAATACAAACTTTACATCTCTTAGATCCTTAGACTAGTCAATGCACAATGGTTATTGTCGCATGTAGCATGCGAGGTTATGAGATGTTACTCATCTTATTCTTATATGTCTATCCTTATGGTTGTCAATGGAATGAGCTATCCCTTGATGCAGAGTTCTGAGTTTCCTCTCATTATCTTCATCGGTAGTCCTCCCCTTATTGCAACTTAATTCCCTTGGATTCGCTCGAAGCAATCCCCATGTCGATCCCTTTCTTTATCCTGCTGTTGACGATCGTATCTCAACAAGGACGTTCATCCTGTCGTCGATCGAAATCGCGATGAGGATCCTATATTATACCATGGACTCCTATGGGAGTCCACCTTTTTGATCCTTTGACGATCTAATCTCAATGAGGATCTATTATCTCGACCGCTGCAGAGCCAT